TATAGGCTATTACTCATTACAATTAATGTGAATAACATGCATTAATAATTTTCCATTAATAGATTCTGTTAGTAAAATAATTCTGTCAGTAAAATTATGTCGATTCAAGACTTCATCAGAACAATAAGTTGACATGTCTGAAAATACATTTTTGTGCGTGTCTGAAAATGATGACAAATATTAGAGAAAATTGGATATTAAGAATTATTAAACAGTTACCGTACCATTCACTTCTGGGTCTGTGTTGGTAATATCACCATCATCAGTGCTAACATCAGCAGCACTTTCCAGGTTGTCAGTGTTCTTGCAGCATTTCTTCTTAACATCTGCAAAATTATTCAAAGATCATGTTTTGAAATTTGTTTTTCCTCAGTAGTTGTGATCTTGCATTTTGGTGTTCTGTTTACAATTGCTGAAGTATAAAGGTTTGACTAGACAAAATTGACAAGTTGGTAAAACAGCATGGATTCTATCTAAACAGGGTTGGTGGACAAAAATACAGGTTTTATTTTACTCTATTTTTCTTTTTATTGAGCATAGAGCACAGCAGTCAAATCTTAGGGTTGTTCAGTGTTTTTTTCACCCTTTTATTTCAGGTATGAATGCTTTTAGAGCAATAAAACAACATCATAAAGACTTTTCCACTTGTAAATTTTTTCCATCCACCAACACAATACTTAAAGCAATTTTTTCTTTCGTTGAAAAATTAATGCGATAAAAAAATTCTGATTTCCTCAAAATTGGGGCTGCTCACAAGTGTTAACCATAAATTTCTCAATATGAAAGGGTCAAATATATTAAGTCACAACAAAACATGTCCAAAATGAATATGGCCAATGTACCTGGACGTCCAGCACTCTGATGACTAGGCTGCTGACCAGTACTGTGACCACTACTGTGGTGATCCTTACGGGGGCCACTGTGAAGGTCAAGGTCACTGTGGAGGTCATCGTGAAAGGTCATCTGTGTCACTGTCCCAGTGTTGGACTCTTCATCTTCTGAGCACCTCTGGAACCTCACCAGCCATGTCTCTAAATGGAAACGTCACAAGTATCATAGAACCACGTCTACCAGGACAATTCAATCTGTAGTCAGCATTTTGAAAGAATTTAGGAATTACATTTAATTTGTTTTAAAATGAAAACATGTTATCAAAATTAAACTTTGGCTTTCATTTTTTAATCCCCTATCCTGCTTTTTCCTTCCTCATCTCTCTCTCTCTCACAAACACACACACATACAGGAGAGAGAGAGAGAGAGAGAGAGAGAGAGAGAGAGAGAATATATCTTACCTTCATCCAACTCCTGTTTTACTTCCTTGCATTCCTGATTCTCCGTATACTCTTTACACAGTCTGACAGCCTCCTGTATTTTCAGCTGTTCTGCTGCTTTCTGAATCAGTCCCAGATTAGACTCAGTCAGCTGCAGTGTTCCTGTGTACATAAAGTCCAAGAGGATCTTTAACTGACTGGCTGGCATGCCTGATAAAAAGAACAACAACTGACTGCAAATTTTGATTTTTTTTTTGGTATGACTGAGGTGAAATAAAATCATAAACTGGTTACAGAGCTACAGAAAACTGTTTAAATTATGGCAAGCTCTTTATTAAAATTGTATATATATCTATTTTTTTACAAACTGATATGCTCTTTTCATAAATTTGATTTACCCTCAGTAACTTTAGTTCAATATAAGTTTATAGTGCTTATGATAAAAACAATATTGTTCAAAAATTCCAGTAACCACGAGATATCCTTAAATAATGATATGCATGAAAGTATCTCTTTTTATTTCCTCAAATTGACAACCTTTTATTTAAAATGAATGAATGAAACTGAATGAATGAATGAATGAATGAATGAATGAATGAATGAATGAATAAAAAAAAAAAAATTAAATACCAGTCAACAGATGCCTGTCCTCATCCAGCAAGCATCCTTGGTCAAGCAGTGACCGAAAATATCCCGAGGCACTGGCCAGGACTACTTTATGAGCAGGAAAGACCACACTGTTCTGAGCCACCAAAGTGACGTCACAGAGTATAACACTGCGATATAATGTGTGGAGACACGAGAGAATGGCATTGGAAAACGCTTTGGCTGTTAGCGAGATCAGTTTGGAGTCCATGCCTGAAAATAGATGATATGCATATTAAAAGCCAGTGTCATATAGGAGGACAAATGCATTTATTATTTTAAAGACTAGAGAGATTTTCCACTCTGTATCTGATAAATTTCTGCATCTGATAAAAAAATAATAAAGTAATTTAGTTTAAAAGCAAACTTTCCAAACCTAAAATTCATTCCCGTGGCTGTGGTAAATATAAGTACGGTTAAGGCAACCATTTAGGCAACTTTCTGCATTCTTGTCCAAGTCTACACACGTATGATGTATTTTTTAAAACTTACATGTTGTACTTACTCAAGTTCTTTAGTTCGACGGTCGACATGGTCACGACATGGAAGAAGTGTGTTTTAATCTATCTGTTCACCCGCTCCAACTTCTGCAATGAGTAGGGGTTAATTAACAAATTAATTTGTAAGAAATTCGTTGTCCGAAAGATCAGCTGAATTTTTTTTATCTACCTCTCTTTCAGAGCTGAAAGAAAGGAAAATTTTCGAAATTATCTAAATTATGATGTATCACCAACATATGTTGTATCTGTCTTTTTTCGTTGATTAGATTATTAATTTTTCATAAATTTATTTTAAATAATTTAAACGACATTAAACAATATTCCTGCTTGGATAAGTTCCATTTTTACGAAACTACAGTTTTAACTACAGCGCAGCTCTACACGTGATATCACATCTCTAACACATGGTCGAAAAAAAAGAGTGAAGATGGAATATCTACCCGAAACTTCATCGACCCAAACAAACATGATGTAAGTATTTACTGTATTCATTTGACAAGTTTGTTTTTCAAATGAAAGTTTGAGTTTTGATATTGGCCATTTTATCGTTTCCGAAAACCATAGGAAAACAACTTGCCAACATGACAAAATGTTGTGAAATATGACTCGGTTAGCTTAAAGTTTCTTGCGTTTATACTGTGTATTTTGCCCATGTCTATTTCTTTTAGAATTTAGTTACATTTTTTAGGCTTAAAAGTAAAGACTGACAATTTTCCTGTCAAGTGTCAGGTATTTTTCATATTTTAATGTCAACATAATTCAATGTAGTGGCTTGATATTATGTAATGCTTTGACATTTTTGGGGACCTGTTTTTGCTGTTATAGGAAATGAATTAGATACACAAATGATGAACAATTTTTTGTAGTATAGCAAATCTAATTTTTTATTACTTTTAGCCTGTGTTGTTCATGTGGCACAGCCATAGAGCCTAACCCTACGAACATGTGCATTGCGTGTCTCAGGGCAGATGTTGACATCACAGAAGGAATCCCTAAACAAGGGACCATCTACTTTTGCAGGAATTGTGAAAGGTTTGTTGATTTATTCCAAGGAGTGCTCATCTTTCTTTATGAGAAGCATTAACCTAAGGCTTTTATTTCACTGAAATTAAATTTCCCTAAAAATTCAAACACTTTTCACCACTTCAAGTAAATTGATAACAGAATTTTCTATTAATGGACAAATACTGGTTCATTTCATCTGTGACATTAAAAGTTAAAAATACATAATATAGATTGTTATAAGTACTATATCAGCAGAATTGAAATTGAGCCAGTGAAAATTTGTAAATTTGTTCAATGATCAGCCACTATTAACTGTTAAAGGCCAGTTGATCCTTAGAGCCTTCCAGATATATAGAAAACTAATATAATATTTATTTTATTTTATTGATTACATTATTATTATTTAATTTTTTTTTTTTTTGGGGGGGGGGGGCACAGACTGAAACTTTTATTAACATTAATCTGGCCAGTAGTGAATTTGTTGTGTGGTCTCTAGATACCCTTAGCCCCCTAGTGCCTGGGTAGCAGCATCAGAGTTGACAGTAGCCTATTTTGTACATCATTATTTTCTGCTCTTTGTCTGTACATTTGACAGCTTTGCTGCCTTGTTTTGTTCTATAGATATCTTCAGCCTCCTAGTGCCTGGGTAGCAGCATCACTAGAGTCCAGAGAGCTGTTAACAGTGTGTCTGAAGAAACTGAAGGGGCTTAACAAGGTAAATACTGAATTCAGTTTTTATGTACAGACACTGTACATTTTACAGAAAAATGAATTTAGAGAGCAATGAATGTCATGTCTTCAGCTTTTGAAGTGTTTTCAAATGTAACAATTTATTGAGTCTTTCCTTGAGATATGTGATGGTTCATATTGACAGCCAGTTCAGCTTGAAATATCTTTAAAAAATCAAGTCTTATTTGTCAACATATAACAATTTGCTTTGTTACATTAAATACAACCATCTGTAACATTTAAGCCATCACATTAGATAATTGTAATTTATACCAGTCTGACATTTTCAGTCATATTTTAGAGTATCACAATCAAATTTAAGTTCAGTTTCAAGTTTCATGTTTTAATGACAGTGTATGCAATAAGATTGTAATGAAACATTCACTTTTTAATGAAAATGTGACCTTGGCTTTGTAATCAACAGGTTCGTCTGGTGGATGCTGGGTTTATATGGACTGAGCCTCACTCTAAGAGAATCAAAGTGAAATTGACCATACAGAAGGAGGTATGTAGGATAATGATAATTATTTGTTCATGTAGAAATAAGCAACCTTAGCTGAACTGGTGATAGTCATGATTTTAAAAATTAATGCATATAAAAAATGAAAGTAAAATAAAAGTGTGCTGGATTTAATAAGTTTACCATATTTTAGGTCTTTAAAAATGTGTCTGGTGGTCCATGTCTTAGAGGCAACTTTGCTTCTCTGACCCTCAATTTTCAGTCATGAATGGTGGTATAATTATGTTTTCACCCCTGCTTGTCTGTCCGTCTGTCTGTCTGTTTGTCATCAACATAACTCAAAAAGTTATAGATGAATTTCAATGGAATTTTTGGGGTAGGTCAGAAATGGGTTAACTTAGAAGTGATTAGTTTTTGGTGGTGATCTGGACCAATAATCAATCAATAATCAAAAATATCAAAAATTTAGGGGTGAAACGGCATTAGATGGAGACTTTGCTGCCTTGCCGGAGGTTTGCACTCTCTGAGTGGGTGATATTATTGCTGTGAATGCCTTACCAAGTTGGTGGCAGGTGGCCAGGAAGCAGCTATGCCTCTCTGATCCTCAATTCTCTTTTCAGGTGGTTAATGGTGCTATAACTGGGTGTTGTTATTGATGAGAAAGGTCTTTAATTACCAAACTGGTGGTACATGCTCAGGAGGCTGCTATGCCTCTCTAATCCTCAGTTCTACTTTGGGGTGGTTAATGGTGCTATACCTTTTGGGGAAATGCCTTAAAGTGGACTATGCCTCTCTAATCCTCAATTCTATTTTTTCAGGTAGTAAATGGTGCTGTACTGCAGCAGGTGTTTGTGGTGGAGTTCACAGTAAACAACCAGATGTGTGACGACTGTCACAAGGTGGAGGCCAAGGACTACTGGAAGGCATGTGTGCAAGTCAGACAGAAGGTGGGGCCTCAATGTTTAGATAATGTGAATCTCTGATGGTAGTATGATTTGAGAGACATTTAAGACCTTTAATAAGAAGATTGGTGTTATTTAAAGTCATGCACTGTCTGTGTATGCCTGCTTTTGTGTGTGTGTGTGTGTGTGTGTGTGTCACTTTGTCAAAAAAATTATAATTGTGTGTCAAGGCTACAAACTTGAGGTATGATATAGTATCTTTGACAGTCCACTTTAGAATCCACAGTGCTGTTTGTACCAAATGAACATTTAAAAAAGTTATAGTTCATGTGACTGTATGTAAAACAGTGAAAAAAGGATGTTTTCTTCATCTAATTCTTCTTCTAATTTTCAGACTTCCCACAAGAAGACCTTTTTCTACTTGGAGCAGCTGATACTGAAGCACAATGCCCATGCTAACACTGTCAGTATAGTCCCAGTGCCAGGTAAGAATTTTTATAGCAACATTTTCCTCAAAAAGTTTTCTTTAAGATGCATCAAAGTATGTATCTGTCTTTTAAGAAACTAGTCAAGTTTGGTAGTCATCAGTTAGGAAAAGAAACTGACCCTTTCCTCACTGTAAGTATGAAATGCAGACTGAGAAAAAAATAATTGTCACTGTAAAGATATAAGGGTGTGAAATTTTTGTGGCTGATTTTGAACTTTTTGGGAGCTAAAAACATCTTTGGCCCAGGTGGCCCGCTAGACCCCATGCCGTATTTTTTTTTGGACTTTTTCACATAATGGCAGTGTTTTCTCTGGATATAACCCGTTTCTTAAAATTTAATCAAACACAGATATTTTCTTTCAGATGGAATTGACTTCTTTTACCACAAGAAGGAAGAGGCCAGGACAATGGTGAACTTCTTGCAGGCTGTGGTCCCTTGTAGGTGGGTCGAAGTTTGTTCACCTTCAAAATGGCCTTGACACTAAAGTGACCTTGCCCTTCCCAGGTGTCTTTTCAAAGAAACCCGTATGGTTTTCAGTCTTTATTTTAACATTTTTCCAACTTGAATTTGTCATTGTGTGAATCAGATGTAAAATGTATTGAAGAGCATGGGTGATGATTAAATTCGAACTGTTAGGCCGCATTCAGAACAGTGGACTAGTCCGCGGGTAAAATATGGCGACCCACGAAAAAGCTTGCCTTCTTATCTGTAAAAGACACTGAATAGATTCCCCGTGGGGAAGTATTCAAGTGGGTCGACCATATTTGACCCTCGGACTAGTCCACTGTTCTGATTGCGGCCTTAGATAAATAAAGTTAATCTTTATGTGTGCCATTATTTGTCCATTTCAGGTATCAAACGTCACAGCAGTTGATTTCTCATGATGTTCACAGTAACACCTACAACTACAAGACGACTTTCTCAGTGGAAATTGTGCCTATTTGCAAGGTTAGTCTTTAATTCTGGTTCTTACATGTCATTTGTGGGCCAAAATATATTCCTAAAGAAAGAGTAGGAGAAGACGTGTTGAGGGGCGCTGTTGAAGCACCTGCCAAAGTAATGCTGGCCAGTTTACAAAATGCTGCACCATGGGGTGGATTCACAAATTAATAAGTTAAAGGGATAAAAATTGTTGTGTCTTAAGAGATTATAATTGAAAATGTTTTAGAAAAAAAAAACTCGGACTAATTTTGAATGTTGAAATGGACTAATTAACCATTGGTGAGTATGGGAAAATTGTGGTTTACCCCAGGAAAATCCTTTTTCTGACCAAAAGCAACAGTCGCTATCCCTTTAAGCCAAGCCCAAAAATTGGTGTTAAATTTTAGGTGTAAATAATAATTAAACAAGATAAATAAGTTGTTGTACAATTAAATGAACTGAATAAGTTTCATTTTAGTTTTTGTTATTTCCAGGATAATGTGGTGTGCCTGCCCCCCAAGCTGGCCCAGTCCCTGGGGGGTATGAACCCTATATGTCTGTGTCAGAGGGTCACCCAGACCATACACTTGATTGATGTCAACACACTGCAGAGTAAGTGAACTGGTATAATAATAATAATAATAATAATAATAAATAATAAATAATAATAATAATAATGTGGTGGTGATGATGGTGATGATAATTATGATACTTAAAATTTTTATTACGACTCAAAACTGTTGGATTCTACACTAGAATTTCAAAAAAAAAATTAAGTAAAATTGCAAGGAAGATATATTGAATTACAGGTGTACTGTTGAAATAAAAGCGGAAGGAAAAAGGAATCTGGTATTTACAGACCATTGTAGCATATTTAAAGACAATTTTTTAAAGTAGAACAATTTCATTTTTATCAGTTGCTGAGATGAGTGGCACAACATTCTGGAGAACTCCCTTCAGCAGTTTGTGTGAACCTAGGAACTTGACGGAGTTTGTTGTCATGGACATCCAGATTTTATTTGACCACGGGAAGCAGGGGACAGTAAGGGGACCCGTTTCTCAAAAGGTAGGGTGCAGGGCTGGGAATTTTCTGATGTAGGTGTTTCTGTATGTCTGTTAGTCTTTGTTAATGTGGTGTTCTGTATTTTTATTGTCTTTTTTATTGTCGGAAAGTATTTGTTTGTGTGTGTGTGTGAGAGAGAGAGAGAGAAAAAAAGAGAGAGATAGAGAGAGAGGGGGGGGTTGTGTTTGTGTGTTTGTAAGAGAGAGAAAGCATAGAAGCATTGCTCAAATGTGGGAATTTAAGATTGTGTGTGTAAAAGCGTTTTGGAAGTTTACATATATAACTGATCAGATATTTTTTTTAAAAAATCTAGGGGATTTTCATTGTAAATTCAGTTTCCAAGAAGCAAGGCATTAAACAAAAACACGAAGTTCATTACTGCAAACTCATCTATATGGGATTGCACTCGTGTGATTCATGAAAGTTTAAATGCATGTACACCGTTAACTTTCAGAATGTTTAGACATAGCACATAAGTGTAAATTTTATAAATCAATAAAGATATTTTTTTCTTTTCTTTCCTAGCATGTGCTGGCTGACGTGTGGGTGGCCAGACCCAGCGAGATGGGAGAGAAGCAATATTTCTGTAGAACCCACCTGGGACATCTGCTCCAGCCTGGGGACTCTGTGCTGGGGTGAGTGACCATGGGACTCTGAGTGCAGACATGCTGAAAACTTTTCAGAATGGCCAGACATTTGGACAGTCAGTAATGAAAAATTTGTCGGACTGAATGGATTTTTGTCGGACCGAAAATAACCCTATTTGTTTGAGACAGATACTAACAGTGCGATTAGGGTAGCTTACTTTGTTTGTGAATGTGATATGTTTGAAATGGAAGGAAAAAACATTTTGGGTTTTATATGATTTTATTAGTGAAGTATGTCGAATGATGACTGCCAATTCAAAATTGCGGCTCTTAAAACTCTTATCGGTCCTTTGGACTTACCAAATCCAAATTTTTTACCAATCCAGACAAATTTTCTCGGTCATGACCAATCGGACTGACAGTTTCAGCATGTCTGTGAGTGTGTTAGGTGTAATTGTGTCGGATGAGAATTGACTGACATAATTCCAGCCTTGGGAATCTGGGGTGAGTGACGGGAACACTCTTCATTGTGGTAGGTGTGATTTTGTTTGCTGAGAAGCAATAGTGTTGATTGTTGTGTTAGGTGTGATTGTGTGGGATGAGAAGGGATTATATTGTCGATTGTGTGATACAGTTAACTGTCTCGGTACTTTTTTTTTTTTTTTTTTGGTTAACCATATTATTATTATTATTATTCAATGTTTTGTGTTTTTCTTTCAGGTTTGATTTGAACAACAGTAATGTCAATGATAAATACTTGGAGAGTCTACCTGCTGATAAGATACCAGATGTGGTGAGTAGTACCCAAAAGTCCTGTATCTGTGTTCATTCCATTAAAAAAAATAAACAAGTTAATAAATAAAATAAAATAAAATAAAACCACTGCGATCACATCAACAATGCACACATTTTGTGTGATATTTATGTGTGTTTTATTTTACTTTTAAATTACTGATATACGTGGGAACTAAAGTATAAAGCAGAGAAAATAATTGGGCAAGGTGAAATATTACACAAAATGTGTGTCACTGGTGCGATTTACATATTCACTTTCCTTAAGAGTAACCCTTAGTGGTTGATAGAAGGGAGTTTTTGCTGAAGAGACAATTTAATTCTTGTGTAGATACTAGATCAAGTGAATTTTTTCTCTCTCAAAATTAATCTGTCAATTGTTTTACGCAGGTGATTGTCAAGAAGATTTATGACAAGAGCAAGCGTCAAAGGAAGAGGAAGTGGAAGCTGAAGAGATTGGAGCAAACAGAAAAAGAGGAGACTTCCAGTATTGAGAGGTGTTTGTTTGTTTGTTTGTTTGTTTGTTTTTGTACTGGAAAATGAAATATATCTTTTCTATTTGGTAAAGAACATATATTCTAAAATTTCATTAAAAATCAACATAAGTTGTTAACATGATTAAAACATATTTTAATCGAGTCTCGAATATTCTGCTTTCAAAATATTTTGACTGTTCCCATTGTAAAAATAGGCATATTTTAATATGGTTTTGAATATGTGATATATTCATAAAATTTCATTATTCTTAGGGATTATAATGATTTCTTGGATGATTTGGAGGAAGACCCAGGACTGAGGCAAAATGTCAATATATACAAAGGCAAGTATAGTTTAAATTTGCAGTGTTATAAATAGGTCAAAAAATTCAATGGTGGATATCATTACTGTATTAGTCCAGTTTGTAAAAAAAAAAGAAAGAAAAGGAAAAAAAAACATTTTCCATAAAATAAGACAAGATTCTCCCTGTAATCAGAATTAGTCAACACTTCTCTCAAAATAAATTTAGAAAAACATTTTGAAGGTATTTTAAAAAAGCCAAATTACAGATTATCAAGTAGGTGTATAAAGAATAGAGCAGTCATGGCCTATCCCTTACAGAATGTAAAATGTTGCAGCAGTACTCCCAGAGAATAGCCAGAGTACTCCAGCAACCCTTGCCAAAAGCCTATATTGTCGTTAAGGGATGCCAATGAAATACAATTTCATTTCATTTATTTACTCTCCGAATAAACAAGAATTCTTGACATTACAGATGCACAGAAATTGGCAGTTGACCAAGATGACACCAGTGATGATGAAGACGTGCCACACATAAGCCTGCAGGAAATGCTGGATGACTTGCATATTTCTGAGGATGCAACTGGGGAAGAGGGGGCGGCCATGATGGAGTGACAAAACTATAGAGGGCACTGCATGTTTTGTGACTGGAAACAATATGCAATGATTGCTAAATTTTGATGAATAATTGTCAGAAAGTGATAAGCTCTTATGCTGAAACACTGTTGGCTATGCCTTGCATGTTTGTAGAGATGCATTGAAAAGAAGAAAGGAAAAAGTAGCCATGATGCTGTGACTGAACCCTACGGGGCATCACATTTCCCGTTTGAAATTAGGGTTTTGTCAGGCGAAGAGGGATTTTCCTCTATTTATTTATTAATAACAAATATTTCAATATTATGAGGTTATCTTTATTATAGTCTTGCTGGGTCTTGGTTTTAAGAACATTTAATGTGATGTGTTGTTTCAGTTTGACTTGTTCAAATCATATTTGCTTTATGGTATGTTTAAAGTAAAATTTAAGACCCCATTTCAAGAGATTAGATATCGATCTACTTTAGATTGACCTAACTCCCGGGGGGTTCACACTAAATAGCTGTCAGCCGAGCGGAAACAAAAGTTAATTACCCACTTACAGCTTGTTGTAGGCGGGGCGGGCATTTAAGCCGGATTATCTGACAGTAATCTAGTGAGACTCCCCGCGGGGATAGATCGATCTAAAAGCTCTGGGAATACAGCCTAAGTATTAGCTGAGCATTTGCCTGAAATCTATGTCATGTTTTTCATTTCCCTGTAAAAGTTTTTTTTTTCCCCCTATGTGCAATCTTACATGTAGCATGTGGATACATGGAAGACTGCATGATTATGTTTGTAGCAATTTCAAGATTTGAAGAATAATTATCCTCCCATTTATGTTAAACAGATCTACCCCCTTGTTTAGATACTGGAGAAGAACATTTCTCACTCTCAACAGAGATTTTGAATTTAATTTTCTAGAAAGCAGTGTAATATATTACTATTTCAAGAGAAAGATTTCCAGCAATCTTAAACTCGATGGGCAGCTCTTTGTTATTCTCTGTACCTACAGACATCTTCAAACTCCATGGTAATTTGTTTTAATTTAAAAAAAAATTAAGCATTAAGCAAAACAAAGTCTGGGTTTTAGAAGCCACATACCTTTACTGATAACTCTAATAAAGTCCACTAAGAAAACATACTAGGCTTTGTTATTGTTAATATACAATAGATATAAGGTAACCAAATACTCACAGCCAGTTACTATGATGAATTCACAAGTCAAACCTTTAAAAACAAATACAAGTTCAAAGCAAACTGAAAATGGGCTTAAATACTTCATTCTCAGTCAAATGTAATACTTAAACTTATTCCTGAATCTTGAATACAATTTAATGACAAAGCTTGTTATTTTTTCTACACATATTCTTGATATTTTAAATTTCCCTTCAAATCGTGTTCTCCACCTTGTTTTATGTTCAAATGATGAAAAGTTCCGTCTTGGGCGTTTCCTTTTAATCTAGAAATAAGGTATACATAATACACTCATTGAAAATAATAGTTGCGTGTGGTACTTTTCAAATTCTATCCACATTCCCTCCTTCACCAAAATGTAGCTTATTTTGACATCGAAACAACTGTGATTAAACTAATATAAAAACACTTTTTAAACACTAAATCGTCTCACATTTTAAAACAAAAAGTTACGAAAAAAGACCCTCAATGATCTTAAATTAGATGGAGAGAGCAGGCATCAAAATTCCACAAGGTGTCACCACTACACATGACACAATTTCACATAATTCAAAGCTTTGTCAACCTAAAAAATTTTACCCTCTGCACAACTAAAAATAAAATCATTGCATTTACTATACATGAAAATTTCACTATAAAATAGATACACAACGAAGCAGATTGCTATTAATAATAATTATTATAATTATAATAATGATAATTCTTAATAAAATGCATGCACTTTATGATATTTTGACATTGTTTTCCCGGCTTTGCTTGAAGGCTCCCATTTTTGGGACCCGTTTTTTGTGAGCAAAATTTTGATTGGTCAAATGATATGTGTTAGCAGTCACATGACTGACTTCAAAGGGCTGACCAATCAAATTGCACCAAACATTTTATCAAATATCAGTTGATTGCTCAAGGAAATGCTTGTGCCTTACTTTGCCTCATAATTAAGATCCCTTTGCAAAACTATTTTTAGTCTGTATTCTCAAGAGGGTTCATGATGTTGATATAGTTTTTGATACAGAGAGATTCCAGTAATGCACAATGACAATATAAATTGCCATGAATAAAAATATTGGAGTTGTAATGTCATGACTCTCAAATTTTATCTGTCATTTGAAGAATCTTAAACAACAACTACTGAAATGGCCCTCTTAGAATACAGACAGCAATATAAAACACCTAACTCTTTGGGCACCTTGGAAATCTTCACTGGCAATTATTCATTTGACATGTTACCGATTGGGCATATGCAAATAAATATGTATAATGTGCAAGGCTTGACATAGTCTAAATAACGGGAATATATATTTTAATTATCTAGAATGATCAGTATTTTGGATTTGGAATATCACCTTTTTATTCATTAAGCGGAACACAGTTCTAATCACTCGCTCTACATGCTTTTCTCCTCTTTCACTGAACAATACAAAATTTCTTAACGTCTCTCGCTCACCGCCATCTTGAAGTGCATTCAGAGCAGCTGACTAACAGATTCGCGGATCAAATATGTCCGACCCACTTGAATACTTGTTGCTTAATCCATGCAGGGAATCTATTCAGTGCCTAATCAGGAATTACGCAGCAAGCTTATTAGTGGGTTGCCATATTTGATCGACAGATCGGTAAGTCTAATGTTCTGAATGCGCTCATGGACAGACACACACGGGTGAAAAGGAAGTTCACAAATGTAAAGCTGGCACCATTACGCATCATGTTGCATAGCAATCTTAGACCCCCTTTTCACATCGAGATGAACACTTCACTGGACCGGTTCACTTTGAGAGGCCAACAAATTCATATCTGCCTAAAACAAATTTAGTCAACTGAACAGAGCTTCTGCGATGGAGGTCAATTAAGACTGCGTTTCCACAAACCCATTGTACTACCAGGATCAATCTAACTTTGCTGGGCTTCTTGCTAAAGTGCTCTCAGTGTGATCACCTTAATTGTCTGGCATTCCCTCTTGAGTAACTTGGGGGTAGTTGGCTGTCGTTAATTATCCCCTAACAGTTAGAATAAGCGTACCAGATATTTAAGCCACTTACAATGGACGCAATTTAGCAAGAATCCCTATAGATTTAGATCACTAAAGATAGTACAATGGGTTCATGGGAATTCCCCCGAACTGTTGGTAGGGAGTCAAACCTCCCTGTAGCTTAACAACATGTGTGGACCAGTCAAAATGGATGTGCTCAGTGAAGTGTACCACTCAGGTGAGAAAAATGAGCCTAATTTTTCAAGGGTGAGCATCTCAATTCGTTGGCCAATAGAAACACAGGAGTTCTACGCTAGTCTCGTCATCCCAGTGACAAACCAAGAGCATGGCAGGCAGGGATCATGCCATATGCCCTACCTGTAGGGGACGCCACTGGTACCGCCTGAAAGGGGGCGCCACTGGTAATGCCTGAAAGGGTTGCCACTCAGACTATTTTTGGATACAGTTGCCGTAAAAACCGCATGGTAAATGTCAAGACGGGGAGGCGATTTTTATGTCTGCCACAAGTCCTTTTTTTCAATGGATGTGTTCCTGCGTCTTCCTTAAATGTAGATGGCAAATCTCAAAACTATTTTGTTGCTACAAGTTAACTAGCCACTTCAGAGTTTGGACTCCAATGTTCAGTATCTATATTATATACTGGATCAGACTTATGCTATCCAGTTATTTCTCACTATATTCCTAAAAAAAAAAAAAAGCCAGAATTGGGTTAAAAGTTTTAAATATGCTATTGTCCTTTCTTAATCCCCATTATTTGATACAAAATTTGCAATTTGATACAAAATCCTAAATACAGATATGATTTTGGGTTGTTAGAAAAAGAAAAGGAGTAAAAAATGGGCGTGGCTTATAAGCCACGCCCATTTTTTTACTCCTTTTCTGAGCCTTGGGGGATCTTGGGGCAGCTTTAGTTGGAAAACTGGCAAGAAAATTATCTGATGTCCCATTAAATAACAAAAAAAAAAAAAAGTCCGTCAACAGCCATTTTTTGTGCAAGTCAAAAATATCTTTCACATCTAAAGATTATCACTTTTGAAGGTACTCAAAAGTTGCATGAAATTGCCAGTAGTTGTTAAAAATTTTCAAGTTTGATAGCGACAGTCATTAAGGAAGGACAGGAATAAGAACCTTGAAAATTACTAGACAGGCCATAAAAAGCCATGCATAATATCTACCTGGTAAAACTAACCTAGGAGTAAAGTCTCCCATACCCAGCCTTCATATTATACCATTTGAATATTGGGACTACAAAAATAATGGCGATATTGCTTGTTAATCAGGCGAGTATGACTGATCTCAGTTTCTTGCACCATAGAATTACATGCATAGAAATCTGGAAGGCCCTAGCAACAACGTTATTATAACCTCGTTAAAAACCCCTTTACACTTGACGGCGTTCTTTTTGTATTCTGTTGTACCGCCCCATGTGAGAGTATAAAAAAAAAACTTTACATGCTGGCAAATCATTGAGCATTTATTCTGCAACCAAAGTGATGCTTGTTCCCCCATTTCTTTTACCACAGTGATGCCAGTTTCATGGTCGCACAAAGGACGCAGAGAGAACGCTGTCCAGTGTAAAGGGGAATTGAGGGATTACACTAGCTTTTATTCATATTTTGCATTAGTACATTTGCCATATGAGATCAGCTCTTGGCATCAAGGTCTAAAATATTTGAAATGGTTAATGGCACCATTTTTTCTTTTTTTATTTTTTCTTTTTTTACCAATTGCAAAAATGGTCCCTAGATAAGACATCTGATGCATTTCTAGGAGGATACAGAAACAGGCCAGACCTCCCCCCCTCCCCAATCTCAAATAATATTCTTTCCAAAGAAATATTTTTGCTTCACAGCACTGATTATTTAATTTTCTTGAGCGGACACAACAGAATATTTATGTATTGAAGAATTAACTATACAGGACTAAGTTTAAATTAGGTGGAATTTTCTGCAAGGTATTTAACTGACTTTCAAGTAATACCAATAGAGTTTAAAAACTGGAATCCCTATATACTTCTACAATCTTACAACATTCTTTATTTTAACTATTTTAAGGTTGTCTAAGATGACAAAAGATGGATAGCTCTACATTGGGAGGACCAGGGAGCATGTTCCAACACCAAATGTCTGGATTTTGATCTCAAAATGTCATGGATATTCCACCACAAGCAGAACTCGAAAAAAAAAAAAAAAAAAAAAAAAACGACAGCCAATCACAAAAGTTGTAACAAACAAAATTACTGGGTGCGCAACATCTACTGAGTCTTTCTTGCTAACCTTTGCTGTGATCTGCAAGTCCAAGGACTAAAAGCATTCCTTACAGAAACTTTCTAAAACAAAATTAAATATTTGATTCCCTTTTGGAAATGATCCACATTTAGTCCTTAGCGAACTTGCACTAGCTCAAGTGAGCCTAGATTTTCACAGAAAAAAAAAAAATCATTAAATTAGTACAAATATCACTGAGCTAAATATCATTGTCATTTATTTCAAGTTTGCTGCACCTATCAAGTTAAAACATTTTGGGCACTTGAAGGCAACGGAAGTGGCACGTCAACCTAAATGAGATCTGGAACAGAGACAAGGCACATTTAGACACAGCTTTGAACCCGTAAACGAACCAAAATGGAACACAATTTAGATACAAGTCTGAAACCATAAATGAACCAAAATGGAACAACTGGACCAAGAGGGTGTCTAAACATGCCTTGGAAGAGTTAACACCAAGTCACAGCCAAAGGATGCCAGGGACAAGACTAGTAGACCAAAGGTGAGAATTTTTTTTTTTTCAGAATCAGACAAAAAAATTAGCTCCAAAATATTTATCCAAAACTTTAAGCAAAAAAAAAAAAAAAATTAAATTTTCTTTGATCCAAGACAGCTCATTGCTTGACTCAACTGATCTTATGTGGCTTAAAATGACTTGATTTCCACCGGTCTACTGTCTGTCCCTGTACAGTGAACACGCCACAAATCATTCCACGACGCTGACGCACAACAAGGGAAAAAATTTGCGACACAACACCGTCCACGTCTCACAACCCATATCAACACTCTAAACATTTACAGAAAAAAAATACTTCAAAAACAGCATACAATATAATTGTAACATCAGTAGCCGTAATGGGTTGCAAGAGGTTAAACATCCCAGTATGGGTTAACAAATATTTGACAAAAGGTTGAGATTTCTTGCACACCGCCTGCCCACTCCGGGTGACCCCTTCAATTAAATGCATTGGTCCTAATATATATACACACGAGCACACTTGGGTATTAGCAGAAGGTACAGATCCCATATAGTACCCCCTCCCCTAACTATCTGATATGGATTATAATATAAATATTTATCATTCAATGTCGTGTGATTCAATGCCATGAAAACCGATGTGATTTGATTGGTTAGACCAGACGCAAGACCTGTCCATGAATTTACTGACTATTTTTTGTCCACATTATCAGCATGTTAACTCCACAGATAGAGAGCCTTGTTTTACGGTTGTCTCGTTTTGGCACCAACTCGGTGACATAATTTAGTTTGACTGATGTTAAACAGAGGCTCCCATCTTGATGGAAATTGCAGCTTCTTTTTCTGCACCAAACCAGATTCTTTGTCAGGCATGATGATGAGCAGTTTACCAGGCATTTTTGTTCATTGAATGATAAATTTCTTGCCCCAGGTTTGCTTACCCAATACAGGTTTATATTGACACCGTCATTTAGGAAAAAAGTTGGAAAAATATGACATGGGGTCCAGTGGGCCGTCTAGGCCAATGACATTTTTGGCTCTCAAAAAGTCAGAAAACGGCTGACAGCCCGAAAATCTCATCCTTGTCCATCTTCAGAAAGAGCCCAATGCCTCATGGGACAGACCTATCTCCGGGTCAATATAAACTCGTACTGTATAGGCAAACAGGTTAACTAATAACTTATATACAGCATCGACTCCCATTGTGGCAGAACCATGTTTAATTTTTCTTCCCATCTCATAGCCTGATATTTCATATTTACAAAGAATGCATTAAAACACCATGTAGAGTATATAACAAAATGTCTAGCAAATCATATGATCTGAAATAACTATAATTTTACCACTATTTGAACATTGTGGTCACAATAAAAAAAAACACCAAAATATTCATATGTGCCATTTCCTTTTTGAAATACAGTTGAATGCTAATTAGACTAAACATTTTTTCACCTGTGAAAAAAAAAGGCATTCAACATGATTGACTGAAATGTTCATAATAAAGCACACTACACAATACAAACCATTCAATAAAATCCAATTCATTTTCTTAAAACATGAGAAAACCCCATCATGGATTTAATTTTTCATAAAAATTGGAGAAGAGCCCATTTTAACAGTTGTAATTCTAGCCAAAGAATTCTAAAGCAGACAAAATATACATAAAATATTAACTTAAGTATTGGGGAAAAAAAGCTGCATTTTCTTCCAGCCATTGTATTGCTCGATACATGCTGATTCTACATCACATACAGCCTTAAAATTCTTAAAGGAATTGCCATTATTATAGTCGCCCTTTAAGGCAGACATCCATGCTCACAGCCTCATTTCTATATTATCTTATACAATATGTAATATAATAAGATATAGGGGGTGATATCTAAAGCAAAGATCACAACAAAAGAAAATTCACATAAAAGTCACTTAAACATTGCTCTACATTTCATACAAAGAAACAAAAAAAAAAAAACTCTAAGTATCTGCAAAATGCACGCATGGGTAAAAGTCGCACTATCCAAGCTACCTCTACTAAATTGTATGTTACGGCATATATCTTGCTTGGTTGCACTGCCTCTCTTAAAAAATATCATTAAAACTCCTCTTTGACATATGTTTTAAGTCATGATTGTGCAACAATTTTGCGGTTATTTACCAGGCACAGCAATGAACAGCATATAAATACTTCAAAGTTTTTGCATATAGTCCATAGAAAGTTGAACAGCCATGCCTATTTCAAAGTAGTCAAAAGTTGCATGTGGAGAATGACATGGGTTAAGTATTCTAACAGCTGACACCTTTAAAAACAACAAGTTCCAGCTGCCCAAGTTTGCCCTTGACCTTGTCATGGCCTTGACCCACATGGTCAAGGTGAAAGTTGTCATGTGCTTAAGATGAGGATTTTGTGCATATGTTTTGAAAATGTAGGCCCATGTGACCTGGACATGTTCATACAGTCACAGCTGATGTGTAAAAAATTTGATTTGCAAATACTTCCAGCTCACAAGATAGATTAAAAAAAACGCCCATTTAATGAATGCATGGAACAAAAGTTGGGATTCTGACTGATACAGCTTCTGCTAACACAAATTTACAAATCATTGCATGAAAAAACTGTGTGAAAATAAATCTTTGAAAAAATTCCTTACTGGTGAAGGGCAAATTTGATAAATACTTAATTATAATTTTGAATTCATTGTTTATAAAATTCTGCAGATGAAGTTCAAGAACAAAAAAAAAAAAAAAAATTAAAAAGTCAGCCGACTCTAGGCAGAATACTTCACCCTCATTTGCATGAATTCCATCTCATTTTTTGACACACAATATCAAATAACTGCACTTATTTCCACACAATATAAAATAAAATTAGCAAACAACATAAAATGGATCACCAAAATCTTCTAATTGAATACCCAAATACCCAGTTTGAGCAGCAATGCTGTCTGACAGCAAAAACCCCATGATGTTTTGTAAGGCCCAGTGCCTATGCCTTTGCAACAATGACAAAACCGATGCTGGGCTTGTTTGTTTCAAGCTGAGCTAAAAGTACCACTGTTCAAAGACGTTTTTGGAAGACGCCATCCAATATTGCTCTTCTCCGAGTTTTTCCCCTGATCTTTGCCGCCTCTTCTTCTTTTGCAACCTTAACTAGTTTTAAAACTCTGTCCAACTTGAAGTACATCTTCCACTTTTTGCCTGATCCCAAACCATCTTGGAAGACACCAACCAATATTGCTTTGAAATGACACATTTTTACTCCAGTTATGAAACACTGCATACTGAGCAAATTCTATTGGCTGATTGTTCATCATGTTACTATGACAACAGATGTCACATGATTGTAACTATAGCAACACCAAAAGTCTGTCTTGGAAAGATGGCGCTCTCAATCTGTTTTCCCCTGGAACCTGTATGTCTAAAGCCCTCGGAACAAGGATATAACTTGGAAGTTTTACTGGAACAGATTATGTCGATAAGAAACACTGCTACAGGCAGTCAGTCTCATGGGTCTAGTGTCTCATAAAAAAACTGCAAGTCTGGGTTTTCATAAAATCAGAATCTTGATCGGATTCCATATGTTTTAGCGTCTCTATGACTACCGAGATATAAATAAATCCCATTGATTCTGCTGCCAATAACACGGATAGGAACACTATACACAGTCTGCTGCTTCGTCTGTTCCCTTGATAAACATTGACATCGTTTTTTTTTTTTTATGCGAAGTACATGACCTTGATAGTGTCGGGATGCACGGTGACTGCACGTGCAAGCACCGTTGGATTGCGATCATCGCTGTTGCCGGACTGGTGACTGCCTTCTCCACTGTAATAGGAAAAAAGTTCATTTTTTAAGAAAAATTAGAAGAAAAAGGACATTTTTGTAGTAGTCTTGTGAATTTTTTTTCTTTGGACCTTAACAATTAAATTCAGACAATGCACATCTATACTAAGGCGTTTATATACATACAGTCATATACATTACAAGAACAATTTGAAAACTATGCACTGTAAAATGCTCAGTTTTTATTACCCTCCCTTTCAATAACAGTATATGTTTAACAATGTAATGGAATCACATACTGATCTTGAAATTAAAAGAGGATTGTCTCAACAGAATTCTCTACCTTCCAGTATCCCCCCCCATTTTTTTCCCCTCCCAGCAATCACATACTGATCTTCAAATTAAAAGAGGATTGTCTCAACAGAAT